CACGGCGCATACGAGAGTGGTTTACTCATTACTGAGTGTGGGCTTTATTCGAATCGTGTTTGGTGGCGGACACGAAGACTCTCCGGGCGGAGGGACCCTTGGCCTTCTATCGTGGATTCCTGCCCTACGCTATCCGCCTTACGCCGCACACGATTATCACCTTCCTCGCCTTTGAGCAGTTCAACAAGTACCACCCTCGCACACGCGCATGCGCACACTTAGAAGAAAGACGCACACACGCACACACACCACACGCAACACACGCAACACACAACCTGAAACACATGTGTTTTATGTGGACAACAGGGCCTGCATCTGGTTGCTGAAGAAAGCAGGCAAGCTGCCCACCGATGTGGCTGCCTAAGAGCATTCAATGAACAACAATAGCAGTTTCCTCCACGCCTCTTCAATAAATTTTTTGATGGAAGGACAAAGTTACAGGATCTCGTCTCCGTCGTGGTAGTGGAAGTTGACGGCACGCGGCCCTCTGGCGGCGTTCATCGCCTTCTCCTTCCTCATGTGCCACCAGCCGACCGCCGCAACTGCACCGACCACCGATGCCACCACCACCGCGGCGATGGGCACCGCCACCTCCACCCCGACCACCAGCGCCCTGTCGCTCCCGCCGTTGCCGTTGCCGCCATCGCCACCGCCGGCCGAGCCGAGCAGGACGCCGATGCCCAGGCTCGGGTCGTACGTCAGCGAGCCATTGAAGGGCGGGAATCGGAGCTCCAGCACGAACTCGGCCGTCGCGCTCGCCCCGTCAGGACCCGCCGATGCCGAGCGAGTGAAGCTGAGCGAGTGGTCGATTGGCGCCAGGTGGTCGCCGCCACCGAGGGAGTCGGTGACGAGCACGATGTCGAACACCTCCACCTTGGCCACCGCCTTCGATGCGTCCCGTGTCGATGACGAGGCCCGGCGACTGAGGAGGGGTATGTAGTAGGTGGTCATGTTGGCCTTGGGCACTCCGCTCTGCCGAGTGATGTTGGCGCTGGGGTCGAACGGTAAAGAAGAAGAAGCCAACAGAGATGATGATGATGACGATGTAGAAGAAGAAGAAGAAGAAGATAGGAGGCTCGTGAGGCGATAGCGGACGATCGACGAGGGGTAAGATGATTGATTGGCCGAGGTGAGGCGTATGGACCACTTGAGCGTGCCCGGCGCGATATCGAACGAGTGGCCGAAGAAGTGGCCGTTGGTCGCTCCCCTGTGGAAAGAGAATTCCTGTTCCACCGCAGCGGCCTCGCTGTTGGCCGAATAGGCGAACGTCGTTATGGCGCCGTCATCCGATTCGTTCACTTGGCTTCGGCGGAAGTCTGCTCTCGCCCAATCACACCACATACACCAAAGAAAGATCAGCCTTTCAATATAAAAGAGCAAATGGTGATTAAACCGCACCTGTCAGGTCCGAGGCTGGGACGGTGAGGTTGACGCCGGCAGAGTTGGTCTCGAAGCTCGACGTGACGTTGACTACCCTCAGCAAACCACTCGAGTCTTTGGCTGGCGTCCTCGAGGGCGTTGGCGTGAGCGACGGCGAAAGCGAAGGCGATGGCGAAATCGACGGAGAAAGCGAAGGCGACGAGGAGGTCGAGGGAGAGGGCGAAGGCGAAGGCGAAGGCGACGGCGCGCATCCAGAGACGCTCAGCCGGAAGGTGTTGCCCGCGTTGGTAGTCCACACTTGGCTCGGGTTGGC